ATAGTTCAGAGGTAGTTTTGAGGATGTCGAGAGCACTTCCATGCAAAAAGCCACCAGTTTCATACTTGAGTTTACCATTCTCAGAGTGCTGTAATGTTGAAGATAGATGCCTGGAGTCTATCTATACCTTATTTGTGAGGCTACAAAACCTGCCATAGTTGCCATTTTTATGTTCCAGAATTTTTAAAGCAGTGGTTTCTATGATTTGTTGAATTTAATAAAAAGTGACTGAAAATAAATGCACCTTTCATTAAATTTAATTATTCTGGTTCTATGCTTATTCCAGCGAATCCAAAACACTGTGATATCTGTTAAATTGGTATTGTAAGAGAAATGCTGTAGTGTTAGAGTATATAAACATTAGAGTATTATCTTTGAAATAGTTTGAAATTGGTCATATGCTTTCAGTTGAAGACTTCTTTCTGTTTTGTGTTTAGGTCAGTCGAATTCTAAAAGTTGCAAAACCCAATATTGTGGTCATGAAGCTGCTGGCAGGAGGCCACAAGAAAGACTCTAAGGTAAGGAAATGCCAGCTGAATTGAATGTAAAATATAGTATTATATACATTAAGGTTGAACTCAATTATCTTTTCCAACCTGAATGATCCTGTGATTCTATGTGAAGCCACCACAGGTCTCTTGGGAGCCAAATGAACAGATTCAAGCCATAGTTACTCTAACTGTTAAAAGAACAGGGAAAAGAAACTTAATTCATTTTCCCCTTGGAAATAGTTTGTTGTAGTTATTTAAATATGGAAAACTCGCATTTCTAAATGTTTTGAGGAAAAAAAATTGGGAAAAGCATGTGGGACAATACAGAAAAATATAGATATTCTTCAAGAGCAGGAACAAGTATCACGTGTATCAGCAGCTTGTGTGAACAAAATCGTGAGAGTGCTGGCTGTCAGGATTAGTGAGTGCCACTGCATGGGTCAAGGCACAGAAGGATGAAGGAACACACCTAAGAGGCACACCAGCATTCTAAAACTTTGTGGCCATCACTGCTGAATAATGATTGACATATCCAGAAATGGGTTGGAGTATTTTTCAGATAATAATTTAAAGAGCTAGGACTATTTGTTTTTCAGTCTTCTGCTGTTAGGATTTTTTTTTTCTGTCTGCAGGGTATTCTCATTATGAGTATCAAATGCAGTAGTACTGCTGTGTAATGTTTAAATCTTTTCTTTCTAGGTTCCTCCAGAATTTGATTTCTCTCCTCATAAATACTTCCCAGTTGTGAAGCTTGTCTGAAGGACAAGAAATTATTGTTAGGATACCTGAAGATACCTGTGTAGCAGGTACCAGCTGTAAGAGGGAATATCTAGGCTTACACTCAGACTGCAAGACCTCCAGGATACAAGTACTGTTACGTGGAATATGTGTAGTCTGCTGCCCTCATCTGATCTGACAACTGCTGTTTGAAAGTGGTTTGTATAAAGTTTAATGCATTTTATGTGTGAAGCTGATTTTAATCAACTGTATTGTTGAAGAATGCCATACCTTAATTGATTTTATAACAGAGTTAATCATAATTTTTATTAATGTGATTTGAGAGAAAATGGTGGCTTAGGGACTGAATAAAAATCATGCAAAATTCGCCATTCAGCAGAGTCACTTAGAGAGATTGTGAGTTTCCATATTTTTGTCTAAATTGTATCAAAATTGCTCACTTTGCAACTAGAGAGAACGGTTTTATTTTTTTCCCACATCCCGCAAACTAAAACAATCTTTACAGAAATCAAGGGCAGATGAAAACTAGGCATTTAGCTCCTACTGCACTGAATTCAGTGATTTTTGTTTTGTTTTACCAAAGCCAGTTTTCTCAGAGGTGTTTTGTCTGAAATGTAGAAGAAGCCTTTCAAGACAGTGAGAAACGGAGTGATTCCTAGTTGGAGTTTGTTCCTTTGTCTTTATTCTCACGGTACTGTAGGACAATCTGCCCAGCAAACACTGCCATAGTCACTAGCAATAGCACCAGATAGTGAGGGGTATTTTTACTCTGCAACTTTGTTTCAATCATGCTACTTGCCTTTGAAAGGAGGGATTGCTACTTTGTTACATCACTCTGTTCTTAAATAACCTTTTTCCCCACTTTGACTCTAGTGGGGCTGCTAGATCCTACTGTGTTCTGTAGTGATAGACAGAGATAGATATCCGAAACAGGAGAGGCCCCAAACCTCCCCTTTCCTTCCTAGAATAGTTCTGCCTCCTGTGCTTTCAGAAATAACAGAGGTAAGTTGTTGTGTTGAGCAACCTCCTACTACAAGAGGGGAAAAAATGTTCAAAAAGGTGACTTGTTCTTTGATAAACTCCCTACTAAAGGCCAAACCATACTTAGGCTATATAAGCAAATCCTTTGTTGGACAGGACAATTCTTATTTTGGTGTAAAATTACTTCCTCTGTAGGGCTGAGCTTTTAATTCTTTCTTGACCATGCAAGACCCTTTTCTGTGTTTGCTCTATCACCTAATTTTACTGTAGAGTAATATCACTGCAGCTGCATATCCTGAGCAGCAGCACTGCTGAGGCAGAGCTTAAAAAGAATGAGGAACCTCTGAAGTGGAACACCCACTTCTCTGCCAGCAATTTGCAGCTTCTTGAAATAAGCAGAAGTACTGCCCTGAAGACATGATTTTCCCAATTTTTCTGCTGAGGAGATTGCATATCACATTACTTGTCTGCTTATCATCATGGTTAAGATACGTGAATACTTCCGTGTAGCTGCCAAAGGAATACAAAGCTTAAAATATGTAGATGTAAAATAGCACTGAGAATTCATCTGGCCATCACAAAAATTTTTCTTGTCGTTAAAATCTTGAACTACATGACAGTAGCTCAAGGACAGCTTTTGATATTTCTCCAAAGCAACCAGCCAGTAAAGGAGAACTACATCACGTATGGAACTAAGAAAAGAGTAACAATCATCTTTCCCATTTTCACTAAAATTAGAAGTGGATGAACTGTACAGAATAAGGCAAATACTCACTAGACAAGATTATTTTGATTTTAAAATGTTTACTTAAAAGGGCTCAGGCTTAGTTAAGAAAAAAAAAAATCAAGGATGTGTTAATTTAATGCCAAGATGATCACAGAAAAGAAGTAATATCACCCTAGTTATATTCCCATAGCACTTGAAGCCATTGCAAATAAAATTGTAGTCCTTCATGCTTTTGAACATTGCTTTTATGCAGGTTTTCAGAGGTTTATAAGTGTGCCTTGTACAAAGATGGTCTTGTTTATGGAGGACAGTGTCCAGGTGGCTCAGAGAAACCCAAAGATGTACAGAAATACAGCCAAAACAGTTTTAAAAAAGAACTCTCTGGCAATATACTAATTACTCTAAGTAGTTTTTCTTTGGGATTCTTAACTTGATAATGGTAAAGCTATTAATTCAACTTGAATACAGCGTTTCACTGTGTATTTTATACTCGTAGAACATATGCTCTTCAGCAATCAATATTAAATTCCTGATCAACTTAATCTGAGAGGCATAACTGTTTACAGATAAAGTCCTATGAAAAAGCTGAGAAGATGGGTAAATAATTTTATCATCCAGAATATGGGTAAACATTTTGATGTTAAACATGCCATTATTTGGAAAAAAAAAAAAAAAAAAGCCAGTAATCCAAGTTTCCCAATACCAGAACAGATGCTCATACCTCTTCTCTTCTGCTTACAAGCATTTGTTTTTCCCTGCTGTGTTGACTGTAGTGGCCTAGACCTGTCTGACTTAGATGGTGAAAAACTATTAGTAAAAGTGTTTCTGTGTTTGGGGTTAATAGGCAGCATTTGACTTAAGCTCTGACCTTCACTTGATGAGAACTAACACTTTTTTCATACACAAAAAAGCCAACCTTCCACTTGCATATTTAGGTATCTTAAGGTTCAGGAGTTGTAAAGTAGTACACTGAGGAGTGACACATCACAAAAGGAGTTAGTTACAAAATGAAAGGGAAAGTAAAGACAAATTTATATTTTCTTAAATGGAATTGCTCGTTGGCAAGTTAGGCACAGCTGTCTGCTGTCTAAACAGAGGTTGGTTCATACTCACAAAGATTGCTCTAAACACAGATGTCAGCCTTGGGAACAGACACAAAAATAAAAATTCTGCAAAACAGCTGGCTACAGACATGGAGGTTAGACTGCAATAAAGGGTGCCCTAGTGGTAAGTAGAGGATATTTCTAGGTTACTGCAAGTAAACTAGCTTCTAGTTTACATTGAACAAGTTACAGAAAAGACAAGACTACAGAAAATTAACAAGATGATAGATTGTGATAAACACAGGACTTTACAACGACTACAGCTTCACCTGTAGGAGTCACTGCCATATCTTCTAAATGCTTAGTCTGGTTTACCTCCTTCAAAAGTCCAGCAGAGAGGAATATTCACATTGAACACCTGAGATGATTGCTGTTCTACAAAGCAAGTGTTTGCCTTCCTACATTTTAGCAGAAGATAGTGGTTGGGTGGACTAAAGGGTAGCACACCATTTCAGAGGGCTTCTGTCACAAAAAGTTTGTGAGTTTGAATTTTTATGCTAAACTTATGCAAGGTAGTGGTAACTGAATCATACTGTATTACTGAACTTGTGAACAAGAGTCCAACAAAGCTTTCAGAAAAATCTTCCTGCCTAATCTCTTAAAAAGAAGGCACTATTATCAGAATTGTTTTGATTATTTTTTTTTAACCTTGAAGCTAAGAACTCACCCAGACAGTGTAAACTAGAAACTTAATTCAGAAGGCCCAGGTGAAATATATCATTTCTGTATATTTATGTTGCAGTAAAAAAGTGCCAGAATAGGCACAAGGGTAGATTGCAGCATGGACTGTTTTTCATCCTTCCCATGTTCGGTGGCTTAGCTCCTCTTAAGTTCTTAAAACTAGGCTGGGTATTTCTCTGTTGTGCATTGCTCAGGGGAGAAATCCATCCTTGGCAGAGGACTGTTGCTCATGTACCAACACTCCACATATACCATTACTGTAGTATGACTATAGCCAACTTCAAAGTTACTACATTTATTGCTTGCTGATTTCAGTTTTATAATCAGTAGGAAGGAGAGTCAGTGCAGACGTCAACTGCTTTAACAAGCCTCCAGAGATTTCAGATTGCTTTTTTCCCCACTGAAACAGTACCAAAACTTCACAGGAAGATACTACTTCATTTGGGCCGTTATTCAAGCCTCGAGAAGGTAATCAAAACATTCTCAGATCACTTTGCTCTCATCATTGCTGCATATAGATGAAGAGGTGACTTAAGTTGCATCATGAACCTCCTTTGTTCACAACTGTTCTCCTTCACCGTGGTCAGATAAGTGGTTCTTCATATCTTCAGGGTTTTGAACTAATGAGGATAAAAAAGGTAAAGAAATCTCTTAAACCGGCAGAAGTGATAGTTTTTCATAAAGAAAGTTCTTCTATGTAGAAAACTACAGGAGAAATTTTGTAAAGACTATTAAATACTGTATAGTAAAGTTACAGATACCACAACCTCATGCCCCCCATTAAAGAGTAGCTTCAGTGATGCTATACAGAAAATAAATCACACTATCAACATGAGGGAAAGCTCAAAGAGAAAACAGAAATTAGCTCGGTATATCTTACTACAGAATACCACGCAAAATACCATCTTAAAATTTTCAGCACATGGTATTTGGCTTTAAATGTTTTTTTTTCCCTTTTTTACCATTTTCAATCCCTGCAAGTGCTGCTTGCTTGTCTGTTTCTGATTCAGCTTCATTCTCATCTAAATTGTAATCAACATCCTTGTCCTGGTTCATTGCTTCATGTTCCTGTTTTTCTGAAAAGATTTAAAATGAAGTAGTTTTATGCTATACCATAGGGTCATTGCACAGAGAAACAGCGACTGTAATCATCTTACTTTGCTGCTGAATGAATTGCTGTTCAGAGTAGGTTTTCATATTATTTTTCATTTTGAATGTTAAATTTCAGAGCAACTTTTGCTGTAAATCTTGCCTAAAGAACCAGATAAAAGCCAGAATCTTTTGGGATTTGGAAAGTGCGATAAAATTCAGCCAACACGCAGATGGACAGAAAGAAAAAGCATTGAACAATTTCAGAATACATTAAAGGGCAGCCTAAGGAAGAGCAAAAGCTGAAGCCAATGCTGAAAACTTGACTGTGATATTGCTTTTAAATGTATTGCCACTACCACCAAAACGTCTCAGCTTCTGCCCTTCTTGTTTTAATTTGTCCCGCAAGGGAAAAGCTGTGAATATAGCATAAAAAAGAGAGTAGTTTGATGTGCTAACCTGACACAAAAGTACTTTCCTAGAAGAGATTTTCTTCACTCAGTCATTAACTCATCTCAAGCAACTTTTATTGACTATCTTAAGATTTCTTTAGATAGAGAGCTCAAAAGTAAATGGAAACATTATTTCTGACTGCCAAATGACTGTCCTTATTTTTCAAATAGTCAGCCAGAAAAAAACATAACAGCAGAGAGGTATAAGCATATCCCACAAGAGGTATAAACATACTCCACTCAAGATAGATTAGAGCTTCTGCTTCAAAATATTCTTAAGCCAAGCCCTCCAGTTAGTAAGTGGCTTAGAAACAGGCTTGAAAATTTAAGCTTTAAGCCTTATGTTGTCCATATTCAGACCACCACATCAAATAGATTTTTATAGTTACAGACCTAAAGCTGTCTAACTTTCAGAAGCAGTTCTTCCTGAAAGACAGAGAATGCGCAGAGAATATGAAACAAGTATTTCTACCTTAGGGCTCCTTTGGCTGCAAGGAACCTGTGCAGTAATTATGGTATTTTTAGTCTTTTTTGCTCACAGAAATGCAGACTTTTCACAGGCGGCATGGCAGAGCTTTTCTTTGCTCTAATTGTTGGATGATTTTTTTAACCTAATCTTTTTGCTATTTATTTCTGTTAAAATGGCAGCATTTTAGGTAACTTTTAATTACATCTCTTTGGGGTGCAGCCTGCTCTGGCCAGCATCTTTTTGGAGTTGGAAAAATACTAGTTTATCAATGCTGTTAGTTTATCAGGGATTATTTATCCCTGCCAAGTTAGCAACAATGTTAACACTCAGACAACTCATAACTCATGATTCTAAGAATGTCTTTACTAGAAAACCATACACAGCATTTTTTGTGGCCATCAATTCCTGCTCTGACTGCCATAAGGTTTTGTCTTTTGATTACTCTGGGCTACTGAGTCCACCTGAGACCAAATCCCTCTAGAAATAGACAGAGGGATGTCTAGATACTGGTCGGGTTTAGATACATCAATACTCTGCTGCTCCGTGCCATGGAGATGTGATTCAAGGCCACATGGTAGATGCCAGAAACCAGCACCTGTACAACATCTGATCCATGTTTTTGCAGACTCACAATAATAAACTTCAGATACCTGAAGTCATAAGAGTTTTAGTCGTATCTTATTTTTAAATACTGACAGCTAGTCTTTTTACAGTGTCAATGGTAATGCTAACTGCAAAACATCCATGCATAAGTAACTCTCTACTCATCCATCAGTGCTTGAAGGGTTAACATCTCATCCTTTTCAAATGCATCCTATTCTTAAAAAGCCCCAGTACCAAAACATTTTGGGGCTAATTTCCCCAAATGCCTTGTACAGTCTAACGGAGAGAAAGACAGTAAGGCTGCTGTGGAACCCAGCCTGGTAGCTCCATGTTGCACAAACAGAAGCCTCCATCTTTACCCATGGACTGCAGAAGACTGCTGGTGACTGACACCTTTCCCATATCACACCGACCTTAGTGAAAACTTGTACTCAAATCTGGACAGCTGCCACTGCTGTTGCAGAAATCATGCCTATTCCACAGTTTCATTTCTTTACTGTTCTTAACAATACTGTTCTTAACATGCTACGAACCAGCCTTTCCCAGGGACAAGTCGTCCTGCTTAGCATCGTAGTTTAGGAGCTGTTCCCTCTCAACTTCCTCACTGGCAGCCTGCTCTGGTGCTGGCTGTAACACATCTTGCCCAGCTACATGTTTTTCATTTCCAGATGGATTTGGCTCCTTCTCTGATTCAGGTAGCATCTCCTTGTGACCTGCAGCAGCCTTGAGGGGATCTTGTGGGTTTTTCAACTGACTAAAAAGCTGCTCCTCTTCTGCCTTAGGCTCCTGTTTTCTGATGTCAGCTGGGCCATCTATTCTTTCTGAAACAATAAAAATTATTCTGAGTGAAAAAATATATGCCTTTCAGTCATGGCACAAGTTAAAAACCTTTAATAAATAATGCTTTATATTTCTCATTCAATTCTTGTTTTTCCTCTGAAATAATATCTTTCAACCACCTCAGTTCCAAAGATAAAAAGAAGATAATTCATGTTTTTCCTACTGGGAACAGCTAAAGGAGGAGACTTTGTTTACCATCATCAGATTCATGCTTCTACATCCTGTAAAATTTTGGGGTGTGTGGTTAATAACTCGGGCAAATGAAATAAAGCAATTTAAATAAAAATTGCGGTGTGCTATATAAACATCAGGTTTCTGTGTATTACATTTTGTTACAAACAATAAAACTGATTCTGTATTTAAAAGTAGCTCAGGACAAAGCAGTCACATAGGCAGCTTTGCAGGTAAACCACGGCTGTTCTTATTTTTAAATATGAAGAGGAAGTACAGGAGTGCTATCATTTTTGGCAGACATTAACTTTTTTCCCGTATATCTGCATTTGTAACTAAAAAAGATAAAATTTGCCCAAATAAACTATATGTAGATGTTGTCTTCAATTGCTAGCTCTCTAAAATGAGAGTTGCATGTGGACAAGATTGTAATTTAAGATAGCATATAAGAATTACTAAATAGGGAATCGAAATTCTATCACACTACTGTGCAAGATGGACACACAAGGTCCACTCAAATTAACAGTTTCTGAAATTTAGTACCAAAAGCAATCACTAAACCATTAACTAAACCATTATGTTAACTAGTCAGATCTCTGTATTATTGTTCTTACTTGCATTTTGCTCAGTGACAAGTGGGAAGCATGTATGTGTGTTTGTTTTAAGCCTAACTTTCAGCTATTCCTTAGGGAGGAGTAGCAGGCTGGATGTGTCAAACTTTCTAAGCAGGCAGATTTTAAGTGTGCTTGAAAATCACGCCTTCCAAAAGTGTAGGGTATTTTCTCCACATTAAATGAGAAATATGACTCCAGAATTGTAAATATTTGTATTTTCCTTCATATGCAACATGTCAATTACAACAAAACTGAACCAGTAGAAATGCCAGCAATAAAAATGCTTCAGTAATGCCTCTCCAAGGCTGGAAAACTACCTGAAGTTCAGACTCTTGGTGTCACTTTTTTCCATCTTGATCTTGTGTACAAAAATGTTTTTAAATGTTCAATTAAATTACAACTGTTCTTAATCAGTTGTTAGTAAGACAGTGATTTCCATCTCACCTTTAGCCTTCATCAAGTCTGTCTGTCTTAGTGTAGGTACTGCTTTAGGTACATCTTCAGTGGGTTTCTGCTGTTCCAAGTCAATGTGCTTGAACTCAGTTTGCTTCAAGGCTGGCAGTTGAATATTGACCTATAAAGTGAATGCACACAAGATAAGCATTGGTCTACGTAACTGCTCCTGGATTTGGAAAGGGAAATGGAACAGAGGTAAGAATTCAGTAGGGGGAAAAAAAATCCCAACACACTTGGAAATATTTGCACTGAAATTTTTTATTGGTGATGGAAGTACCATACAATTTTGAATATGCAGTAATGTTTCTATGTAACAGCATGACACATCAGGAGAATTTTAACAGACCTTCTTTAACTGCGGGTAAGAATGAGCTCACTGCTGTCGATTATTCTCTGAGTGTCACAGAACTGTAACACCCCACATTTATCCACTGTTACCCTGCTACTGCCTCAGGGTCAGCAGAGCAAAAAAACAGATGGCATTAACTACTATTAGTAATCTGTTGGGCAGGAAAACTGTGTTTGGACATAATAAGACTTCAGTTACGTAAGGCTTGTATGGGAACTGGTCCGTAACTATGCTGAATGCAGGATTAAGAAAAGAAAACATAAATTACCAACTAGACAATAGTATCTGTTTAATATGATAGAGCTTACTTAAGAATGTATTAAGTTCTGGCAGTAGACTGCTCTCAGCATCTGACCCACTTAAAGATTAAGGCTAACATATACATGATCTTGAAGATCTTCCAATTTAGCAATTAAAATTCCATGTACTGCTTTTACTCACATTGGCATTGGCCTTCCTCACATGGCCATGGTCTCCCTGTATGTCAGTGGTGGCCTGTTTGCATACCTGAGGCCCCCTTCCATCTCCTCCCCATCCCCTAGATCTCGTGTTTGACAGTCCTGTGCTTGGTGGTGTCTTCATCAGTGGATCCCCTTATCTACAGCATAGGGAACAGGGAGCTTGACGATGCCATTAAGAAAGTGAGTCCCATATGTTTTCACAGCAATAAGATTACCACCTCTCTCCATAAATGACTCCCAGATTATCTGAATTAAGTATTTTGGTAGGGGGCCGAGGGAGGGGAGTTTGTTTGTTTGTATTAAATTTGTTTGTTTCAATATCATTATAATTATCATTATTGCTTTGGTTGTTGTCATTAATGGTTATTAAGTTTTTTATTAATTATTAAATTTTTGCATTTGCTTCACTACATTTGAGTCATGCACCATCCTTCTGTCACCTCCTACCCTGATGCTCTGTTGTGTGTCTAACACTGGCTCAGAGGGATCTCTGTAATAAAACAGGATCTCCCCAGTGCATCACTTTCAGCCTGAGCAATTCCTCCAAAGAGGCTTGAGAAACTGCAGCACTGAATTTCGTTTCCTCCATGTGTTCAGGACTGAAAAGCTCAGACCTCTTGAGAAACACAGGATTTGACTAACAATTCACCATTAGTTCCTGGTGAAAATGAAAGATGAACTGAGGGATGTACCCAGGGCTTTGAAAACACCCATCCTCTATGAAGGGAACCTGGAGCTGCCTGTAGAGAATGGTGATTGTCCAGCTACAGCACAGCACATTTCTAGGGCTGAATGGAGGTTGAAGAGATTTAAAAAGATGGGGTGGCCATGGTACTCCTAATGCAACCCCATACACAGTTGACCTTGCACCACTGGCTCATGTGGCATCCCTTGTAGCACCCAGGCTCCCCCCTTCACAGTCACTGCTCAAGCAGTCAGGACCCCACCTGCGCTGACATACAGGGTTATTCTTCCCCCTAATGTCATCTCAGAAAACACCAAATGAGGGTGCAAAGCCAGGGCCAGCAGGGAAAGAGCAGAGTGGAGCTGTTTGTAGAGGAATTTATGAGAATGATCAGAGAGAAAGACTTGAGAGGAAAAAGAAAGAAAAAGAAAAGTTAAGCTTAGATATGATGAGGCTTGCTTGAGGTTACCTGCCTGGCAGCTCTGCATCAGTAACTTCAGTGGGACAAAGAAGCCACAGTTGATTGCTCCAAACTGATATCTGCTTACTTCCATGGTCATGGGAATCTGATGCTCTCCCAACTATATCAGCTCGTTGCTGCACTTCCATCATCACTTTCTACAACTCCCTGAAAGGAGGCTGCACCAAGGTGGGGGGTGGCTTCTTCTCCCAGGCAACAAGTGACAGGACCACAGGAAATGGCCCCAAGTTGCACCAGAGGAAGTTCAGATTGGATATGAGGAAAAATTTCTTCACTAAAGGGCTGTCCTTGGAATCACACTATTTCCAATAGATCATGAAGATTTAACAAATGTTGAAGCAGAGCAAAACTTAATGAGCTGGGCTAATGTTAGTTGGAGACAGCAGAAAGGTGGAAAAATACTTAAGAATTGCAAAAAAAAAAATTTTTCAAGAAATTATCCAAACAATACCTGGCTATATTTTTTTGAATCTTCTGATAATTCTTTGTTTTCTTTGATTTGTGGTACATCACTATCCTTTTTTGTAAGTTCATCTATCCTTTCTTCACATTGTTCTTTTAATTCTTTCATCTGGTTGATGCACTGTGACCTGCAGAAAACATGAATAAGACAGTTAACTTTCATCCACACTCTTCTGAAATGTTCTTTTGTAAAATTATATATTTTTTTAAACATGTTATTATTTCCTTAGTTCTATTATCTAGGCTTACATTTGAGAAGTCAGTAGGGAAAAGTGTTAACCTAAGTCCTAAGGACAAACTCAAGTTCTATTGGGAGAAATTAATTTAAACGGCTTTTGTCTGACCAGCTCAACAAGCTACATGATTTTTTTGTGTGTGTGTGTCTTCCATGAACCACTCAATTTCAGGTAAGTTAAAGTAATTTTGATCCTTGAAGCATTTCTAGTATGATAACAGAAATTCATACTTTGATTTTAGCCAAGAAGAGGAAATAGCGAAGTACTAATTGAAATAAAAAACAGGTTGTTGATCTACTGTTAGCAAACTGAACACCCTTTCTCAATATTTCAGCAAAGTGCAGCACTGCAAGACATACATTACAGAAATGGAGTTCATCAGTAGCTAATACAAGTTCCAAAAGGATATTCCTCAAAGATGCAAGCACAGTGTATCTTTTACATACTTTTAATATTTACACAGTGCCATTAAAATCTTAACCTTTGTGACAGCAGGGGTCTTCTGTTTGCATTTCTGCATCCTGCCCTTCCCTTACAGCTCCATAACTCCAAAGTAAGTCTTGGGCTGTTACTGCAGTGTTTTTCCTAAAGCTGCCAGGGCAGTCTTTTCCCTTGCTGTGGTTGTGCTGGAGATTCTGTGCAAAGCCCAGGAGTGTCATCTATGTCAGTGTCTCAGGGGAAGTGCTGCAATTGGAGCAAGATCACCCTTTCTCCCCCGCTCTCTTCATAACTTGTAACTTTCCATTTATATCAGAGGAAGAACAAGACCAAGACCTAGTGAGTAACAAAGCAGATAAGTATTACCCTGTAACACACAAACAGAAGGTTTATAAACTAGCCATCATATGACCCCAACTATGCTTTGATCCCACTGCAAACAGGAACGAGCAGTACTGTGATCAAGTGGATCCCACTGAGAAGTGCATCACATTAGAGGCAAATGTGGCAAAAAAGCACCATCATTGTCAGTACCCACTGCCCTGGAAAGCCTACCTGATCAAGAGTTTTGGCTGGGGACCACACTGTTTCTTTTCCCCACTGGTCGTAGCAGCAAAAGAGTTCGTTGCAGGGTTTAAACCTTTTTTCCTTTCTCTCTCTCCTTTGTTTTTTCCACTCAAAAGTAACTATGTCAGCTTAAGACCCTACAAACACATCTTTCTGCATCCAAAATCTCTCTCAACATCCTTTGTACAACACCACAGTCAACACACTGCAAGTTTCTTCTCCCTTTCACTTGGACAGAAGGCGGGTAAATGTCTTCTGATTCTGGCTCTGACCAGTGTTATTGTAAGTGTTAATACCCCCAGTGTAGCAGCAGCTAGCTCAGACGGGCACATTCCAGTTTCTCAAGCTGCAAATAAGCTACTAACTAATCCAAAGGAATTCTCAGGGTACGTGCACTCATTTTTAAAGATCCGTTCTGTAGTTCACACCCAGAAAGGAAGAACAGTAGCAGATGGCTACACTATGAACTGACGAATTAATTACCCTTATTACCATCTCTTCTTCACTAGCCATTGTTCAAAAGTTTGATTTTGCTAATGCTAATACAAAGAAGAATCACCGAAATAAGCAGTGCTTCCCAAGTTGGTGAACATCAGAGACAATAAAACAACATAGGCTTGAGTTATGCACACGTTCATTAATTTCTAGGAAATTAAAGGACATCAGAATTATCTGTACCTCTTTGCAAGCTTAAGAAAGATGCACTATACAGACAACCTAAAGTTGGCGATAATGCAGCCTTCCACAAATGCTCTTTCATCCCATATTGCAAATGAAAATGAAGTTCATTTAACATCTGTGACAAATACTCACTGTTTAAAATCTATTATGTGCAACAGAAATCACTTCTTTTAAAAGGGATTTCTGGAGATGTGAATACTCTACTCGTGCATACAAAAACAACTGTAGTACAGGGGCAGCACTAGTTTCCTGTCTCATCCGATCAACATGACATATTTCAAATGTGCAAAACCAATGCTCTTAAATTCAGTCTCTGTGGCATGTTTTCTCCCTCACAAGATTACACAGAGTAAATTTCTGGGCGAAAGAGATCACCTGCACACACAGAAAGGAGCCCAAGTAATACCCTCCCCAGCTGCTCCCAGGACTATTACAGGAGACATCAGCCCATTCAAGACCCACCTCCACAAGCTCAAAGGAGCACAGAGGCACAAAGGTGGAGACAGCCTAAACTACAGACTCAGATCTGACAGCCTGACCAGACCATCCCCACAGCACATTTTGCACTAGTGGACAGCCACTCTCAGGGGAGAGGGATGCAGCTACTGGTGTTGTCTGTGCTCATACTTCATGTGTCTGTGTTAATCTGCGTACCTGGCGTGTACAGATGTGCTCTGCATGCACGGGGACAGATGTGCAGCCTCTCCCCTTCTGGTCTGCTGGATTTGCCAAACCCCAGCATGAGAAACAGAGTACCTTTGTTCTTTAGGAGCATATATCATTAGCTCCTTTCAGACCTGCCAAGAAAGATTGCTCATGCACTCACACTCTTGCACTTGTCAGGTCTGCAAATACCAAACTAATTACACGTAGCAAAATTTCCAAAGAAGTAATTACATAAAAAACAAAGCTCTTGGGAATCAAAATGCATCTGAATATTGAAATGTATTTAAAAGATCAGTCCAGTGTTTCTTTCTGGGTGCTGCAGGAGAGAAGGGTTAATGTGGCAGTCAGCCTTTGCTGAAGAAGCTCTACCATGAGCAGACAGCACTTGGCACAGTGTGCACCAAGGCTATCCCATGAAGTTGACTGCTGAGGAAAGTGCACTCCTTTTGCACGTAACACCAGTAAGTTCACATAGCTCCTGCTGACTTCTTTATGGAAAACACTAAGCTTGCCCAAAAAAAAAAATGCTAAGATGAAACTTCAAGACTTGGGTACAAGAAAAAACAATGATTTTTTTTTCTAAGTTCATAGACTTTGTTCCTATGCATTCCACATGTACAACTGTTTTTACCACTACCTTCTACAGAGTAGTATCTGAATGTTTAAAAAGAGTGATCCACAATGTGTACAGTTAAAAAAAGGCATTTGACTTCTGTCATCTTTTTATAACACTTTCAATTATACAAATAATACTCTCTTCACTTTTGCACTGGGTAAACTGTACTTGATACATACGGTGCAAAACCTTCATCCGTACAAATCCAGGTAAAAGAAGCACATAATCAGGTCTAATGCCCACTCCTGGCAAGGCAGATGAACAGAGAGGCAACATATCGGTTTATTTCTAATGCTGACAGGAGGAAGGCAGACAGATTAAAACTAACGTTTGGAATCTAATAATTTTTATTTTTCTAGGCCCATAATTGCATTGGGAAAAGCTTGTTTCTAAGCATTTAAAGTGACAGCATTAAGTGAGCATTTAGCAAAGAAGAACATAAGTAACGAAGTACAATCGAATATCCATTTCTACAACTACCAGAACACAATGTAAAGTTATTTATTCTAGTAAACACAACAATGAAATATTAATGTTCCAACATCCTCCCTAAAGGCACACAACAAGTAACATCTTAAAAATACATTTATATATGTTCCTAACAGAACTGTGTGAATGCTGCACAGTACCCAAGCTATAAATTACTTCACAAAAATTTGAGTGCGAAGTTTATTTTCCTCACTTGTATAGTTACAACAAACATCTAGAAACAGAAAACAAACATTTAGGTATTATTCAGCAAAGCTAGTGAAGAAAGCATAGCTCTTTGACTAAGATAACTGCCTTTATGGACTCCCATGGAGACACTGCAGGAAATGGTGCACCTGCCTCAGGACCAACTGGAGGCAGCTAGCTGAGTCCCTGTGCAGCTCCCACATGGCTGATTTATCACGTCTGTCTCTACACCTACCCTGACAAAATCAAACTCATCTTTACCACTGTAACATGCTTAGCTTTTCACCCTGAGCCAGCCCTGACCTTCCATTAAATGAAGAGGGATTCCCTTTAGTATACTACCACAAGCAGGGATGCTCTGTCAGTGACTTCCTCAACAGAGCTGAACACATTTCACCAATGAAAACATTTCACCAGATACGGGTAATAAACGAGTTTTCAGAAGTCAGACTCACTACAGTTGCTTTGTATCACTTCTCTGCACATGTTATCAATCCATTGCTTCATAGATGTACCTGTCATGTGGAGCATGACTGTACAGCACATACAGGTACCTAAGGATCCATTCATTCTTGCTGATCTCAGACTTAAAAGGAAGACACCAGCAAACAGATTCACTGATTAGCACCTGAGGTTCCATGAGTCCCAGGTCTGCCATTTAACTAAACAGCAAATAGATGGTGCTTAACAAGTGTGGTACGCAACAGGTGTAGAGAGGAAAAAGCACCTTAACAGACACACAGGCAATGTGGCTTAATGAAAAGTTGGTACAGACTGAAGTTTCCAACTTCCTTCTACTTGTCTGTTAGAAGTCTTAAATTACAACTCTGCTAATACAATCGATCTGGGTCATCATTATTAAATGAGTAATAACCAAAAAAAAAAAATAGTCACAACCAACTGGTAATCAGTAAGTATTGCAAAAGAAGTAATAATAATCCTTCATTCTAAGGTGGGGAAAAAAAAGGAAGAAAATAGGTACTTCAAGTTTAGCCTGCAGAATTCAAGTTCTTTGATTGCCATGTTCAGCTTTTAGTCATAATTCCTACAAAATCTGGCTAAACAACGGAAAAATACCTATCACTAAAACAGTTATATTCGTGATGGAAAATCATTATGAGAACAGGCAAACAGCAAATTCTATTGCTTTTTTTGTCTATACACCAGAGGAGAGATACAATAGAATGTGAAGGCAGGCAGAGGGAACAAGAATATTATTGAACAGAAAGAACCCAGGAGAAATTCATAGAAATACCGGAAATGTGTATTTAGGGTAAGGATACTGGTAAGTGCTTTTTTTTCAGTTATCCATGCTTTATAATTCAGTGGGATGTCTCAAGAAAAACATGTGACTAGCTATGAACTGTAATGTAGAATACATGGTCTGATCAGTATGGTGCCAGAAATATCCCAAGATCTCCGGCAGCTCAGTGAAGTACAGCTTCTCATCAGGTACTCCCCTATCTGAATTAAAACTTCTTCAGAGTTTAGCCTCTTCATGTTTTAGTTTTCCCTCCAACGCTTAGGTGATTATACACTCCTACCTTAGACCTCCTGCAATAGAAGGAACATCAAGAAGTGTGGGAGAAGCCTGTGGATACTGAGATTCCAAGATTGCAAGGTTTACACTCTTCTCACAACTGTGAGCAATTTTAGAAGATGTGTCAGATGTTACTTCCTCCTTAAAAACGTACATTTACCAACAGTACTATAGCTAACACAAGAATACTCTTATAACCAAGTCACCTACAACTTGGGAAGTCATCTTTTATAAAGCACATACTTACAGGTCATATGAGAACTTCCTCTGAAGGTTAGTCTGGTTCTTCTGAAACCAATAAACATCCAACTGCAGCTTTCCATATTCTGTCTGTAACTCTTTCAAGTGTTCTGATCAAAACAGGATTAAAATACATAGTAAAATACACCCAAATAAACATATACCTACACATACAACAACAGAAATCTCAACAAATCAATAGAAAGCACACTAAATTAATTCATCTGTCATGCTAACTACATTTTGCATAAAAATGCGTAGATGATTGTTGAATTTATTCAACAAGGATTCTCAGGTTTGGGCAAAAATAGCCTTTCAGCAAAATATACTAGCAAAACCAGTGTAACATATCTTTTTACCTACTTTTCTTCATCAGGAATATTCTGATTTGCAAACCCTGCTAGGTTTCAGCCCAGAAAATCTTTAGGTCTATGAAATCACAATCAGAACACAGCAAGAAACAGTATTCATGTTTATCGGCATCTAAAGACAAGCTTACAATGCTTCCCAAAATAATAACGCAATTTACAGCTACGTTCCTGTATAAGAAACAGAAACAACAGAGGCACCTATAATTTAGAGTTTTCTTCCTGATAGAAAGCTCTGCATGAGGGCACCAGCAGGCGGCACACAACATATTTACTTGTTTATAGGACTTAGAATTCATTTCCCAGACCTCCTGAGGAATACATTGCTAGTAACAACTCTGAAGCACCAACATGAATAGAAATGAATTAGACTGAGTTTTCTTATTTAATATAGGCGTTTGTGAATTCCTCCAGAGCTAAAATGCATGACCCAACATCTAGGGAAAAATGCAAGAATATGCTGCAAGAGGTAGAATAGAGAATAAATACATTAATCTAGGTTTATTCTGTATTATTTTATATAGTAAGAGTCAGAAGTACTACATGGACAAATCCTTCTACCGTTGAGGTAGATTATTCTCACACTGGAACTATGGTTCTCACTTAACTGGAACTATGCAGAAGAAGTATCTAAGTCATCACAGCTCCTGCACCATCCCCATGACTTGAAGAAAGGCAGCATTCTCAGATGACCCCAGAAAGATACAAGGCTTAAAAACAGAGGGCCTAAAAAACAGCATGAGAGAGGTGCACAGGGATATTACAACATACCTCGTAGATTCTGAATCAGTCGATCATTTACTGTGATGTTTCTCAGCAGTACTGCCTGAAAGAAGCAAAACAAAAAACAGTGTTTTAACTGCAAAGGACTTGTATTACCATTAATATTATAAACAACACCTACCAAAGCACTTGTAACGATCTGTTTTTTGTGAAGTGCTGTGTTACAGTCAAACAAAAACTTTTAGCTGTTTTACAGATCTACTATTGCAAACAGCAAACATTCATTTTAACCCAGATTCCCCACTTAAGGGGGCACGGGGAACGTACTACTGCACAGATGCAAAGAGGAAGGATTTAAAAGTTAAAGATACTAAAATTGCTTGCTGCTTTATTGTACTTTAATCTCCTTGTACTTTAATTGACTGCCGTCACAGTCAAATTTACTGTATTTATCTCTTGAAGAAGAATACAGCATAGTACAGCTCACTATCAATTACCCTCTCACTCAGGAATCAATACACCTGCATTCAGGCATGCAAAGATGAGCTATGAAAGCATTAATGATTGAGCATAAGGGAACTTCACAAAAGCAATGTGAAGCCCTTGCATTGTATCCCTTTTCTAACTATCATCTCCACTGCTTTTGTGCTGGAGTGGTCTTCTTCCATTCCCTCATTTTGCTCTCTCTCTCTCATTCTGAAGAGGTATTCAACATAGGATAATGTTTTGTCCATTCTTTCATCAACCTTCGTCTACCATTTCATATACACACGTGCCCCACAACACCTGAAAACTGACAGAACCAAATCAAGACTAAATGAAATTAATTGCTGTGAGCAAGATACCAGGATAACTCAAATTCATATTTAACATTTAGCAAGTGTGGTGTAGAAGAGTTCTTAAGACTACAAAAAGAAAGAAACCCACCTATTCTTCAGAAACAATCCAGTCCAGTCTTAGGAGAATATTTCTTAGGATTCAGTGCCTATTTCCTCATTATTCTTGTCCTGGGAAACCTCAGTGTTCAAGGGTCCCAGATCAGGATATACCAAGTATCCAGTTTCCCAAAGTTTCTGCTCTAGTAGTGATGTGTACATATGTCCACACCACCCAATTGCGAAGAAACAGCAGCATCCATTCTGTCTGCCCAAGTCACCCTGAAACACTGACATCATCATCAGTGCCTTTTTTTCACACAGACTACAGTAATAAGAGTTGATTAGCTGAAGTGCAGCGTTCAATCACTCTGAGTGGGCAGGCTAGCATCCAGCAGAAGAGCAGATTTGTCTTTGGTTGACCCTTTAAAGAGTCCCTTTTCAAAGAGGTAGTCATTTACCTGTTACTGAAGTATTTCCACACCATTCTGTATGTACAGCTGGTATGTGAAAACCACTGTGAAAACTCAAGAGCAAAGCTCTTGCTCATTTGTTAAAAAGGAAAATGAAAACCAAGTAACACTAATAACAGCATATATGTTTAATATAACTCCCTCTCCTTTCCTATAGGTAAACAAAAAATGAATTTTCTTTCAATGGTTTATTGGAGAAAGGAAGCTAATATTTCAATGGAATTCCAAGTTTTGTTAATGCATGAACCATGTAGCCAGGTTGTTCCACGATTATCATCTTCAGGGTTGTGGCAGTTTGAGCCACATTAGAAATCTAAAAAAATCCAATTTTCAGGCTTCCCCCCACTCCTTACCACAATGTATCTGTGCTGGTTTAAGAGTTAACCAGCAGGGGTAATGAACCCAACTCAAAGGAGAGATTATAAAGTCAGAATAACAATTTATTAAAATAATACAGTAAGTACAATCATACAAACAAACAATTGGTCTTAACCCACAAAACCCAAATGTATAACCCAG